TTCAAAATTTTTTCTAAAATCGCTAAAATCGGTTTAATAAGCTCCACGTGCCGCCATTTTGTTGGGTATCCGGTTATACCTACCTACCTTTAAGCTAATGAACACTGCTTGCAATTTAGTTTATACTACACTATTTGTCTATGTTTTAAGTAAATCTATTTAAATTTTTGCTAAGAATAAATAATGTAAATTTCACTCTTCTTACTTGGGGGGTCGGGAAATCCTATTTACTTACAATTTAATTTTGCGTATAATCTATACTATATCATTTAATTTTTTTTTCTTTAAATGTACAATTTTGTAAAAAAATAATTTTTATATTATTCATAATAATAAAAGTATATTATTATTATTTTTTTTTTTTTTGTATATATGAACATAAACATTTAAGTTTATTTTATTATTAATAAAAACCAATTTATCATAAAACTAAAATTTCGTTTCAAACAAAACTCTTTATTCACTTATCTTAAATTTCTGCTATATTCAGTAAATCTACAGTAAAATCTACTTTAATATGTGTCTTCACGTTCCGAGTTGTAAAAAATGTATATGAAACTGACAGACAAACGATATTTAAGAATATTAAAGGACATAAAGAAAATCTTGCACGCATTCCGTTTATGGGGAATGAAGCAATTTTCACAGCCATTTCGTTGATACTTTTCATTGAAATGTTTGTGAGAAAAGTACGTGGGGAACGTCTGCGGATAAGCTTAAGTGAATTGCCAATAAAATGAAAAGGGTATAAAAAACGTAAAAATAGCATAAAAAATGAATAACAAAACAAAAACAAAAGCAACCAAAAAAAAAAGAAGAACATTTCAACTAAAAGTATCTTTCACTCTGTGTTCAGAAAAAGCACTAGTGCGACTGATACTGGACCATGAGTTCTATATATTTCCAGTCATGCTTCCACGGTTACGAGAGACTTAGTCACAACGTGTATTCCTTTCTAAAGGGTAAATATTGGATTATAACGCATGCTCAGTACAAAATTTGCTCATTTTTAACTTGTCTACCTATGAGGTCTTTGGGGATGAAGACTTTTTCAATATTGTTTTCTGTTTTTTTTTTTTTGTTTTTGTTAAATACCAAATACGTCCCCAACGTATACGTGGTTTAAGACTATTGTGAATATCTGATAATATATGTGAACGTACGTACATATATGGAAATATTATTTTTTTGTTGCTAGGAATTGTTAAGTTCCAACTACGGCACCTTTCCTTTAGAGTTTTTGGTTGCTATTGACGCGATTTGGAATTTGATGAAAATATTTTAAAAAACAATATAGAAGTTTGAAGATGAAAGAAAGTTTATGAAAAATATTTGATACTTGTTATTTCATTTTGTTTTAACAGATTTTCTATACGTGAATTCCAATATTTGTTTTTTTTATTCAATTTTGAATTTTATTAAAATTCTTTAGCTCCTTAACAACGTTTCATCCTGTTACTATATACGATTAAACTGGGATGACTACTTCAGTTTGTGTGGAGAGTTAAAATTTTTGTTGAAAATATATTTTAAATATTTATTAAATATTTAGTTTCAAATTCTACATAAATTAATATTGACAATTATATATGGTATATTTTAAAACACTTAAATAAATTTAGAAAAAAATTAATAAAATTGATTGACATTTTTATAAATTATGTATTTAAATTAACTATATATGAACAAAAATTTAATATAGAGTATTTAACATTTATATTATTTTTAAATTTAATATACTATTTGTGACATTGATATGCAATTTAAATTTACAACACACTAAATTACACTAAATTTACACTAAATTTTATTGAAAACACTAAATTACATTTAATTTACATTTAGATCAATTTAAATTGCACATTAAAAATAATATTAAAAATATTAATATTATTATAATTAATTTTGTATTATTATTATATTATAAGTTTTCGTATTTGTTACTGGGCTTAGGTCCTTTGTTTAACACATAAATTTATAAAAATGTTTTTTTAAATAATCTAAAAAAAATGTTAAATATTATAATATAAATATTAATATTAAAAATAATATTAATGTTACGTACTCTGTGTTAAATTTTTGTTTGCATATAGTTGATTTGAATACATAATTAATAAAAATCTCAATAATTTTTATTTATGATAACTATGAAATTACTCTATATTATCCACATATAGGTCCTTTATCCCAGAACACCTAAATGTTGCAGTTGTCCATAAATTCCAAAGATAACTTCTATTGTGAAAGTACAGAAAAAGCAGTAACAAAACTTTCAATAACCAGAAAACTGTTAGAAAATGGGTATCAGGTTATCGGATCAGGTTATAGTTCAATTAACGCACCTAAACATAAATGATCTTGGACACTGAGTGTGCAAAATAATATGTAAAATCAGGTAGTTTTTTCGTATAATATATAATCATAGATAAAACAAAAATCCGTTTCTGTACTTTAAAAATAAAAGACAGTCAATTTAAAGAAACACCAGAAACATCAGACGAAAAGTTATGGTTTATTTATGACAGTGATGGTCACTACACATCTCCATGCTACTGTAAAACCAAACATACAAAAAAATTATAGCAATTAATTATTTACAACAAATTTCTTCAATTATATTTTTTTTGAAACTCAAAAATGCTCAAACCATATCAATTACTATAACTAACTAATTTCTATTTCTAATTTTTTTATATATAATCTAAATCCCTATATAGAAAAAATTCATATTTTCTATATACATTATACATTATGGAATTGAGCCTACATAGAAAAAATTTATCGATCCACTCCTTGTCAGGGAATGGTTGCCACCTATTTGTCGAAAATACAAGGTTTATATATATATATAGTTTACAACATTTACAACAATGCTATGGAGTAAAAAAGCGAACTGAGCATAGCATTTTGAAAATCGATTTACGTATTCATGTCAAGACGATATTATCTGTTTTAAAGGATTTTAATGAAACTCTTTAAGATACTAATTGACAATTTCACTATCAATTTTTAAATGTACTATCAACAACCAAACAAATTGCTTTATTTACTTAAACAAAATGAGATAAATCATAATCTGAAACTTCCTACAAGTTTTATTTGTCTTCAAAAGCTTTTATACCTTGTATTGGCTGTATTATCATATCCTCTATATTCTTTTGCTTCGATTAATTTTGCAAATAAGTTTGTCAAAACAGACATGTTGCTATAATTTAAGAGCTATATGAGCGTGGAACGCTTCTGTGGCTAAACAGATGGCAACACTTATTAAAACAAATGGATTATATATAATTCAACAAAACACACACCCAACGAAAATCGCCTGTCATTTTATTTAAAAAAAAACCAAACCGAAATTACATTTTACACTTTCCAGAATTTTGAAAATGAATTAACTTATTATATTAATTAAATTAAGAAATTAAAATTAATTAATTAAGAATGTGTAAAATCGGAAACTTTGTTCATTTAAAGAAGAAGCAAATAAGTAAGAATAAATTTAAGAAACATAAATATTTTTGAGTTGAGTTATTAAATAGACATTATATACGATTTAAAATAGATTTCTTGTTATAGAAGAGAAATTATTTTTAATTAGAATATTGTAACATTAAATTTACTATTATAATAGAGATTTTCATTCATTAGTTTTTGTGAATGAAGATTTTCTACATTCATAAAATTAATAGTTTTTATTACAGATGAAAAAATTGATTATTATTGTGGCAAGTAAGAAAATATCTTTTTTGTTCTTGTTTTTGCTTCATAAGCATTTTTTTTTGAAATATTACGGTGAAAGTATTACATAGATATATTTATATATATACATATATAGAATCAATAAAAGCATCACTTACCTTCTTAGCTTATATAACCTTTTATATAAATAGTAGGCGTGCCCGCAGCTACATGATTATATCTGTGCGCTAACATAGTCCCTAAGTTCAGAAAAAAATTTCGTTAATTAATTTAAATTTTAAAATTAATTATTTGTATTTTATATAGATAAATAAAATAAAATTACATAAAATTAATTAAATTAAATAAAATTAAATTAAATAATTATTTATAATCAATTAATATTTTTAACGTAAACCAATTTTCAAAACATAGTTGAATTGTAAATATAGCTCTCCAAATATAGCTCTTCTCCTGTACATGAGAGAAGAGAAGATGTACATGATAATATGTACATTACGTATTATGATAAGTAACATATTTAAAAGTTTGTTGCTTTAATAAAATCTCTAAAGTCAGTTATTAATACTCTTATATTAAAATGGTTTTTGTAAGAGAATACACACACACACATAGTACAACATCGAACATCTGCATATTTATAGTAGTTCCCCCGCATAGGTTATATCATTTTATATATTGACGAACTTAAATTCAAAAAACTACAAGAAAAAATTTTTTTTAAACTACCTCAGAAATAATGTACTAGGTAGGTAAATATTATATTACCCTGATAACAAGTAAACTGTTTATCGGGTCGCTTCGTTTATGTGTATTCGATGTACTACATCCGCTTTACTCTTATCATTTAGCGAGAATGGATATCCTTCTGTCATTCTTAATGTGAATATTACCATCTTCACTTTAAATGAAATATTTTCTTTGTGAAAATTATACAATGAACCTACTAAATTCTGAGTACTGTGATTGAAAAGAGATTCTTGTAATGTAACACCATTTTGAGCATTTAGAAATCAATATCGAAACGAAAGTATATTAGATATTTGTAATGTGGACATATATTCAGACTTCTAATATACGTGTACACATCACCAAATTATATCACAGTTATCAGAAGGTAGCTTGCTTCAATGGACGATTGATGAAAAACCATGGTTTATAGTTATATCAAAAATCTAACAAAAGGAAAAAAAACAGTGCTTAAATTTTTAAAGAAAGATCTCCGCAAAAATATAGAAAACTTGAAAGATAACATCCCAAAAAATCTGAATATGAAGATATATTAAACATCAATGCTAGAAATATGTATTGTACTAATAGTGGGTATATAAATCATTATATTGATTAAGATTTGAAATAAGCTGTTTTTAAGACATTGATCGTTTTAAGACTGAAAATGTTTGGAAATTGATTTTTTTTTATAACACTCTTTATTTCGTTACATATTGAAATGAAACCAAATAAAAAATAAATCTTTGTAAATTAACATTATACAAATAGTTTAAAAAAATATATATTTATATATATAGTCAGTTATATGTACGTATGGATCTGAAGTGAACTGAAAACTAATTGTACAACATGCTCACGTGATGCACAGAATCCAGATAATCTAGAACATATTCTAATAATATATCGCATAGTAGAATCACAATCTCTAACACTCAACAGTGCATAAATAAGTATTAAATGGAGACTAATATATTACAACCTGTATTATTTTCTAATAGAGTATATAGCTGTACGAGTTTAAAGTAAATGAGAATTATAAAATTTGTTTGTATGGTATAAACAACTTACTACAGAGTGTCCGAAGTTTTGATCCATAGTTATGTTTTTGGTCGTTTCAGTTGATTCTAGTTCAAAGTTTCTGTCTACGCAATTCATTCTCTGAAGACAGAACTGTCTCCGGACTGTAGTAATATTTTTTCTTCTTCGAATAGTGCATTATTGTTACCAAAGCGATTCTTTTTAATACAATTATAGTTCTGTCGTTGCAAATTAATTAAAAAAGGTAGCAGTATATGTACTGTAAGATATTCTATGGAGGATATTTAATGATACAATATTTTATTTATTCGATATCAATAGAAATAGAATACAATATTTTTGTATTCTATTTAATGTATTATGTTAATTATTTTGTAAAGAGTAAAAACAGAAATTGCTGTATAAATTTGATTAAAATATCATCATATATCATATATAATGATTTGTTAATAAACAAAAAAACCATATACAATGGTCCTATTGTATATTAAAATTGATTAAAATTTTGATGACTGTATTTTACTTAGATTTACTTTCGAAACCTATAACCCGAACATAATGCAGCAACTGTTCGGACTTGCTCGCCACTCGTTTGTCGACACAATGGCAATATTAACGGTAATTGGTAGATATGATGACCGTTACCTTCAACGAGTATTGTCGTAGCTATCGGGTAGTGAAAAAAGTCGAATGTATTACCGATGTATTCTGTCGCGGTTTGGCACTTCTCAAACGGCACATATCTACTCTAAGGTCTCACTTTCTGAAAGGTCTGTCGAATATTAAAAGCAGAGGCATTAAAGACATTACCTTATAATGAACACACTGCTTTAATATTTCTTGCTAGTGGTCTTTTGTTGTCAAGTATAGGGTTCCACTAGGCAAGCTAGCGGACATTTTTATTAACATATATATTATATATAATTATATATTTACTATGTCTCTGTATACACTGATAAAGTGTTGTGTCACAAAGGACCCAATTCTCGGGTCTAAGTGAGTCGATTTTATTTATATAGTCCAGCTGTCACGTGTACATACTCACTTTCGGAACCACAAAATGGTTCCAACCCTTAATATATATTTTGATTATAACATATGAAGTATTAAAAGTAAGTCCATGTCAGCAATTACTTAATTTTTTAAGATGTTTTTTATTTTTGCAATTAAAATGCTCGTTGTTAAAGTATTTTTGCACTTTGTAGTTATAAATATTTCACATGTGGAAATTGAAAATTTTGTAGAATTTTTAACAGAACAAAGGAATTTGTTTGGAAAATTGGAATTCCATGTTTTCGTTGCATAATTAATTTGTGGATGTGTTAGTAAGCGCGGATTTTATGCAACCAAATATCAACTTCAAATATCAATCAAAACTGAAAATAATATTATTTTGTCATAAATTGAAAACATTTGAAATGAAAATGATTAGCCAAAAGCCATTCGGAATTCAGCATTAAATTGATATTTCGATGACAACTCGCGACAGAGAGCAAAAAACAGGAATCAATTTCAGTACTGAATAATGAAAATTTTTGCATTGAATAAATTCTGAAACTCATGTAAATGCAATAGAAGAAAGCAAAAATATATGAAAATGTTTCGAGCACAAATTGATTTGTCAAAGAAAAGCAAATATTGTTTTTTGCATAATTTTAATATTTTCGAGTAGTGCTGTAAAGTTGCAATGCATTGCGCTGCAACAGCACTTAGCCTTGATTGCTTATTGGGAGGTATTTGCACAATTCAAGTGCAGTTTGAGCCAACAGAACAGAAGATTCGCTTTATTGGCAATTTGCTGTGTTTTTACAGAGAGCAAAAGTTAATTTTCTTTATTAATGGAACGTTATTGCTTATTTACGATAATCAAAATTCAATTTTTATATTTACTTTATCTTGATACTTGCAAAGAAGAGCTGCAACCACGTTTGTTATTACTATCATGTGTCCCTCTTCTTGTGCGGTTTAAGTCAAGTTCAATAATGTTCAATAAAAATGTATTAAAATCAACGAAATGCGCTTTATGACTTTTATATCTTCTGTCTGATTGCCTGACTGTCTGACTGTCTGACTGCATGGCTACATGACCACCAGTCCATAAGCTAAAGCCCATTGCTCTGTTACAATTATTATGCAAAATCCTTACGATTTGCTATGAGTTGTGCCGCAACGCAGCTCATCCTTTTGTGTCGTTTAAAATGCGTATTGAGTGGTTTATGAAAATCGCTTTTTGGCCAATATCTTTTCATTTTCAACCATTTTCATTTATCTGCTTTTGACTCGTACGCACGAAATTGCGAATAAATTCACAAGCACAGATAAACAAACCAAAATGAAGTTGTACGCCATAAAGTCAGATACACCATCTGACATACTCACGTCCTCATATTCGTATACACCAGCCAACAATTGCTGAATTGTGTGTGCTCCGGTCCGTTATACAAATGGAGTCGATTTATTTTATGGTATCCTTTAAATCCTGCTTTACGACAGCGGCAAGTGACACTTGCTGTGCTTTTTTTGGCTTCTCTTGTTTATTGTTGTTTTTTATATCCAACGCCCACATAGTACTCAAATGTATGTGCTTTACGATTGAATTTATTGGGGGTTGTTTTGGAGGGTTGACTAAGGTTCTGCTTTTGTCAGATTGGATTTTGAAATTTGTTTACATATTCGTTTATTCCCAGAGATTTGAACTGGTAAGATTGGAAATTTCAAAAATTTAAAATAAAAATAAAACTTGCTGAAATTAATTTAATATATCCATTAATATTTTAATAACTCAATAGTATAATACACGTTTATAGTACAATATATAATATATACATATATATAAATCTGAATCTATCTAAATCTGAATCTATTTGGTGCTTCTCTGTATATGTCGTTCTATGTATATCGCGACTCAGCTAGCTCACTTTCAACCGTTTCACATTTTCGCCCAGGTCTTTTGCTACCTTGTGGATTTCATACCAACGCTTGCCTCGCTATATAAAGCATATATCCCGCACATTTGACTTAATCCATAAAATTCAAAAATCTTTTGAATTTTTTCTATGTTCAGCCATTCCATGCAAAATGGGATGACTTGATGATATGCAGGTATTTTTATCACAGTTGGCTGACTTCTATTAAGCAAAACTCCAGCAAACTTCTTGAGATGCCCCGTAAAGGTATCAATCTTGTGGTGGGTTTGTTTACGGATTACAGCCAATTAGAAAGTCATGCTGGAAGATTAAATAATTCAATATGGCTTTCAACGCCTTTGAGTTATTATATGGTAACAAAATGGGTCTATTTGCCTAGGTGGATCCTTAGAATAGCCAATATAATCTAATCTAACCGAGTATGAGAAGAATGTCTTACTTATGCTAGTTTTGCAATCTTAATGTAGTTGTACCATTTCGAAATCATTTAGAAGTTGTAGTTATTCACAGTTAAGCAAGAGCATCTCGAAATACGCGATTCGAAATTCTTTAAAAACAGACGAAGTTCTTCATTCTCTCTTCTGTACACAATCCTTCTTAAGCAAGAATATTGTTTTTTTCTTTATTATTGGATATGGTGCACATCGTTTTTAGCTGGCTCTCATACAAGACATATCAATGGTGTAAGGGGTTTCCATGGGTTTTAAAAACTATTCCAATTGATATCTATATAGGTAGGTAGTTAAAGTGGAAGAAGGATCGAATTCTATTCAATAAGCTAAAAAATGTATTTCGATGCCACATTTTTTGTAATTACGGATAGAAAGTGGGGCATACGTTGTTATGATAACAATATAGATCTCAATTGCATTCTTGTTAATATTGACGAGAATTTTAGAATTAAGATCTAACTGAATGTGTGAATAATCACTGTTATCTTATAGGTGTTAGCGATAGTTCTACTGCTCATATATAGTTGAATTTATAGTCAATTAATTTTATATTTATAATATTTCCTACAATACTGGATCCCGTTTCCTGTCACAGTTATGAGTATCAAGTAGAAAGTGTCTTGTGTTACTTGTCACTACCCAGCGTTTGCGTCGATTAAGATCGACCAAACGACCAGGTTTAAGTTTCTAAAGGTTCATGAACAATTTTTAGACCTACATCTTGAAAGCATTTTAGGCTTTGCTTAAACTTCGATGTGACTTTTAAGCCGCTGGCTTAGTTGGATTCTCAAACCTTCTGCAACGAAAAATCATTGCATTCAAAAAACTCAAAAAATATCATTATTAGAAAAGTGACGTCATTAGATTACTTACAAAAGAAATTATTACATGACCTATTCCTTTGGGACATAAAAGTGTCCATTCAATATAATCATAAAAATATTACTATTGATATAATATAATTATTACAATAATAATATATAATAATTGTATTACATTATTGAATACAATCCCATTGTCTGTCCAAAATGTCAATAATATTTTTGTAATTCACACAAGTCATTTTCTTCCCACAAACCAAAAAAAAAAAAAAGGAAAACAAAAAATAAATCCACAAAAAAGCATTTACGGAAGTGTAATAATAATGTGGCAGGTGTTTAATAACGCATTTTCATAATGCACAATTAATGTTGCACAACAGCCAACCGATATCCCACAAAACGGATGCACATACGTACACCGCACCCTTCATTCATGGAAGACAGAATCAGTTTATACGCCAGCTTTTTTCATCCAAATACCTAATCAAACGGCAATATTGTACTCATTTCGCATTCATTTATGAACAACAGGTCCATAATATTCCCTCAGCCAACATTAAAGGGCATAAAAGCAAATCACTGCGCAAACCGCAAGTATTTTTCACCCCAAGTTCGGTCCTTCTTCTGTGATAAACAATAATTTTTCGCCTTTTAATTCCTTACTCATGATATTTTTTATTTATTCCTTGACACTTCGCACCCTCTCGATTATGTGCTGTGTGCTTAACAAGGGTTAGCTGGACTAATTCTGGTGCAGTATCGACTATCCCAGCGCAAGAAAATGCCAATTTTATGAACTTGACTCATTTATTATTCGCTCCAGATTTCTTGTTTGTTTTTGTTGGTTTCGTTGGTATTGTTCCATTCAGTAGACCAACGACAGAAGTCAAAACATGAGAATGATTTTAATAGTGAAATAATGAACATAAGGTCTAAATTACTTCTTCTGTTTTGGTTTGAGAAATTTGCTTTCGCTTTTGTTATGTTCTTTGGAATTTTTTTCGTTTCATTTCTATTTTTCCTTTTGTGAAACGATTTATCAGTTCGTTTTTTGTGTAATGTGGGAAAAAAAACTTTGAAAACCATTATTACAAGATATCAACCCAGTATTGTCGGTATCGTATTATATGGTCAGACCATTCAGTGAAAGGTTAATACTAACAAGCAGTACGTCTTGGTTTCGACACCCTTCACACAGATTGTTGTGATGTACTTCAATTGTTTACTTTTATTTAATAAATTTTTTTTTATGGATTCTATGTATATATATTCATATTTAAATCTCTTTAGAAAATAAAATCGAATCCTTAGCGATATGTCAAAATAGAAAATCAATACTCGCCGTAATACCGAGACACAATTTTATTAGTTCATTGACTTTATATACCACCATCAATAAAAACTGCTCAGTTTTCAAG